TAAAAAAAAAAAAAAAAAAAAAAAAAGAGGAAAGGAAAAAAAATAAAAAATAAAAACTACAGAAAATAACTCAAAAGCAAAATCCCAAATAATAAGGAAACAAAACATACTTCTTTATTCTTCGTTTTTAAATTTTAAGGAATCAACTGAATGCGCAGATCAAAATAAAGATAACCCCACAGAGCCCAAAAATCCTAAAACACGCGCAAAGCTCCGAGTAAAAAGAAAACTCTTCAAACAATCACATGCATGTGAAAAATATTAACATTCTCACAAACCCAAAAGAAAACCCCAAAAGTTAAAATGAAAAAACGATATCTAATCTAAGTAAGCAAACAGAATAAGGAAAAACAAAAACAAACGAAAAGCCTCAAACCAAAAGTTTCTTTCTGATTTTGGCCTGAAGCAATGATAAAAGAAAATGGCCCAGATCAAAATTAATAAATATTGCACCGGAAAAAAACGAAAACTGCTTGAATCGTTACATGCATGTAGAACATTTCCACATTCTCCAGAAACCCAAATAGCCCAGAAAACGGTTTCTAAACACCATTACAAACAACCCAAATGAAAATCCGCAAACAAAAATGCTCTTTTTCCACTTTTATTTTTATTATGCTATTTGTATTGTTCTCGAAAACAAACCAGCGATGAACAAAATGGCCCAGATCAATATAAAGAGAAAAAAATACCCACAAAATAAGAAAAATAATTTTTTTTTAAACAAAAAAAAAGGTGAAGAGAGAAGTTGAACAGAACAAACAAACTCACCAAAAGCTCCGAGAAAAACAGAAGTCTTCAAAATTGTCACATGCATGTAGAAGAAGATATCAACACTGTCCAAAAACAAGAAAGTGTCCAAAAACGATATCTAAGTCAGCAAAAAGATAATAACCCAAATGAAAATCCTCAACTTCCATGGACTCGATTATATATAATAATATTATTAATCAACTGAGGTATAATTTGTAACTCCCAACATTTTATATTAGCTTTCCTCAAATATAAATAACATACTATTATATCAGCTTCGATTTTGTTTTGTACTTAGATTACATATATACCCCCGGAATGTCTGAAAATCTACCGAATGAAATAAAATATTATTGAATGTCTTAATGAGAACATATATTAAGAAGAAGGGTAAACATGCCAATTCGTCCAACTAATTTGTTTTATTCAAATGTACACTTTTGCCCTTGAAAATTATTTGTGAAAGAAGGACAGAATTGTCAAAATGTATTTTTTTTTAATAATGTTTGAAGTTCTAAAAGACTCGAAACAATTAAAAAAAATAAAAAATTAGAAACTGCTCAAACATGGGTGAAGTTGTTACTTACATAAAAGAAAAGAAAGAAAAGGAAATTTTAATCTCAAATTCGAGTTAAATTCGTTAAAAAAAAAAAAAAAAATTTAGACAGACTTTCTCAGAAAAAAATTAAACTATAAATAATACTCGAGTTTCTCACTAAAAATAGTTCTATTTATACGCTCTTTTTTCTCTCCTCACTCACTTTTTAAATACACACACCATGTAATTTTAAAATAATTAAATTTACTTTTTACACATCCAAATTATTTTCATAAGATTATTAATTCTTAAACATGTTATTTTTCATTACACACCCACTATTTTATTTTAATTTATTATTTTAAATTATTATCATTTTTTTATCTCTCTGATTTTTTTTTTGGGTGAAGTTTTAGGCATCAATTCTTTTCTCATACATAAAGAAAATTTACTATTACATTTTCTTAGAGAAATAAGAGACATAAATATAGGCAAAACAACATAATTGTTACATCAATTGAGATATTGATCAGAAAAGACAAAATAGGAGAAAAAAGTGAATTCCAAAGAGTATAAAAAAAAAACATAGAGAGAATGAAACATATAAAAAAACAATCTAATGTTATAAAAATAAAAGGCCAAAATGAAATAATCATCCTTTAAAAAACAAAATAATTAGTAAAAAGACATTAAATTTGTAATATATTATATAGGGATGTTGAAAGAAAATAATATGCAATTAGTTTTATTTTATAATAAAATTTAATTAAATAATTAAGTCGTCACCATTATCATTTTTTTGTTATTTTATGTGAAAGTCTTTTTGTCATTAGAAATTTTAATTTAAAGTGGGGTGTAGAGAATAAAAAGATTAATCATGAATGAATAGATTCTGATGTTCAGCAGTATCGATTATTCTTACATAACTCTAGTTTGGTTTCCTATACTTCTTCCAATTAGTAGCATGTTGTTTCTCGCTTGAACATAGAGTATCGATTTCTTGCTAATGTCACTGTTAAACTTATCTAGGTTGAATCACTTCTGAATGAATTATCTATTCCTCTATTTGGCCCTCCTGTGATACTCTGATAATGTCAGCACCACTTACTTGGCCGTCAATCCTTTTTTCATTCTAAAATCAAGCATGAGAAAATTGACTATCATTTTATGAGAGAAAGGGTTTTTGTTCAGTTTACGCCCTCTGAAGATCACTTACTCATGCCATGATTAAAACTCTTTCTACCCAACATTTTTTTTCCATGTCTTAGAAGCGAGCTCACTGTGCTGCCTAACCCTATGCTCTTGCAGGGGATGTTAGACAAATATTCAAAGAGGAGTCCAATAGTTGATCAGGATAATATTCTCATTTATATTGTGTTCAGGATAGTCCCATTTTATTCTCACACGTGTAAAATTTGTCACATCATTCAGTAGTCTTTTGAACATACTTCTGTTGGAGAATTTTGCGTACAGAGGAAGAAAAGAAATAAAAAATTAAGATGAGTTCGAGGCGTATAAAATTTTTTTTTTTAAGGTTTTATTTGCACCCACTTCTCAAAATTCGCTAAGGAGTTTCTATTACAAATTACTCTTAAGATACAACAAACCCTTGAACACAATATCTAGTAATAATATTGTGTTTAGTTTGTAAATTTTTTGGAGAGTTAATAAAGACAGATGTGTCAATTCATGAATGAACACACCCTCTTCAAACATCACAACCATTCACATAGAAGTACATTTTCAATGTAAATGTATCTCTTCATGGATTAATGCATCTATTACAACAGTTCCATCTATTGCTAATAAGTGTTCAAATATGTGTAAAAACATATAACCAATGGATATAACGGTTTGGTACATTTCTGATAACGAATCGCGCACGAAACACATTTTCTGCAGTATCGGGTGCTGCAGTGAATGAAAAATCCGCTGTAGCACTCGGGCTAGTTCAAACAGGCTCGTGGCTGCACAAACTACGCACTACATTACATAACCGATGCACTACAGTGCTTGGACAGGTGTTGCATGCTTGTGGCTAAGACAACACCAAATGGTGCTGTCTCATCCTCTGTGGCGCAATCCAAACACGCTGCAGCGGGTTTTGCTGTTCAAAATGCCTCCAAATATATTTGAAACAGTCCAAAATGTGTGATATAAGTTGAGAGATGGTAATGGTCGTTTTTGTATCAGGCCCATCTAAGGGTCCAAGCCCAATAGTTCCGTCCCGTAACGAGATTGAGCTCGATTCGTGGACCCAAGTCATACTCGGGAAACTTACGTGGGTCGTGGTTTAATGGGTCATGGATAATTGAACGGGCCTATTTATTTCTTAGTCCAATCCGATTTTAAGTCCCGCGTATGGGGTTTTAAAATAATTAGGCTAAGCAATGAATGGGTGATGGAGAATCCAACCCCTAAAGCCTTTCTTTACCTTCCTCAACCTTTGGAGACTCGAAAGTCTAGAATTTAAGTCACGAAACCTTCTCTTCCAGCACTAGACGAGAAGTCTCCAGAGCAGCTTCCTTCAGAGTTGGCGACGATTCGTCTCTGTAGCACTCGTTACTCCGGAGGCGTCACTATGGACGCCGCCACAGAGGCATCACTGCAGATGCCATGACGGAGATACTTTCCATGCTCTAAGAAACTCCTCTGTGACCAAAGATTCCTCCTATACTCCGAGAGACTCCCCTGTGTCCGAAGGTTCTTCCCGTGCTCCATGGAGATTAAATGTGTTAGGTGCTCCAACGATGGCTATTTAGCCAAAATCAGAAGGCGGCGCTCTGGAGCTAGTCTGATATATGTTTAGACCTTTGAGAATATCAGCTCCCTCAGAGCACCAAATTCACTCAAACACTCTATGATCTTCAGACCTAAGGAAGGTCCAATGTCAGCAAGAATTCTAGATTTGGTCTCCAAATACAACTATTTTTGGCCAATTTATTTGTCAAAGAGGAAAGTCACCTGATGCAGGTGCTCCGGAGGGAAATAGTTCGTATAGGCCTCCGGCAAGGCGTGACTGTATGTCTCCGGATCAACCACCCAGGACTCCAAAACCTTTTCCTATAAATACCTTAACTTCTTCATTTCAGGGGGGATGATTACACTTCTCGGACCCTTTTTGACACACATTCTTTTTGTGAGATTACAACTTGAGTTCATCCCTCTGAGAGTTGTTCTTCAAACTTGTGCTCTGCGGGTTTGAAGTTCTTCATAAAAAATTCACTCAAAAGTTCTCAAAACACTCCGTTTGATCAATCCAAGCTCGTCTACAAGCTACATTTGAAGTTTCTGAGGTTTCTCCGGAGGTCTAAAAATCCGCCTCCGTGGCTGGACTTCGTCGTTCCGGAGCACACTTATGGAAAACCATAAAGTTCATCTGTTGATACACATTCTCAGAGGCAACCTATGTTTGTTCTCTGAGCACTCCTATAAAACAGCCTTATCCCCACTTTACTAGATAGACAACCACTCCGGAGGTAACTCGTGCTTGTCCTTAGAGCATTCCTCCTCTAAAACAACCTTATTTACACTCTCCGAGTCAAATCTCCATCAACTGTTCAGTTACTCCTCCCACTATACTTCGTCCATGCGATCTCCATGACTGAGTTCAACATCTTCCCATGAGCATAGTCAAGAGGGCCTCAACAACTTGATAGCAAAGTGAGCCCTAAAATCTGATTTCTTCGGCTTATGTTGGGCCCAATCGACCCTTCTTTTTCGTTGGAGGTCTTGCCATACAAGCTCCTCTGTGAATGTCGCGTGTTTCATCCGCGTCAACATCGACACCACCGATCCGGTACTTGCATGTGTATACCTCATACACGATGTACCCACCAAATCTAACGGGCCCCAACAAGAGACATATTATAATCTCTCTAACAATAACCCGCTAGATTGTAATATTTCTCCATAATCAATGACGATAAACACATACATAAAAGAAGATATATTTCGATTTTATCCTCCAATTAGTGAATATACTTCAAAGTATTCACAAGACAATAGTGTGCTTTACATTGAACTTTACCTCTTAACAAATACCATAAACATATCACATATGTGTTATCCTAGACTTTAAAATCTGTTCCAATTGTTTAGCATTATTTTAGCCTTGTGCTCTATCTTGGATTCATGAACATTTACAAGACTAAACCATGGTCTTATCAAGAACGACACCATTCCTTGTGTTCACTTTGGTTAAGTGTCGAATTATGTGTCTCGCTACTATGAGACTCGAACTTCATTAAAAGTATATACTCAGCCTCAACCACGTAGCTATTTTTGCACTGACATCTTAGAAGGGACTTTTTTTCGGTGTTCACCTACTCATATAACAATGACTTTTTTTTACCCATTTAACTATAGCATAGCGGTACAACTATTACATAGTTAGGTTCCCATCATCTGTGACTCTTTCAAAAAAAGGCTCCAGTCTCATTCCACTAGATGTTTCTTTGACTAAGTCTCTCAAAAGACCTTTTGTCAAGGGACCCGCTAGATTCTTGTTAGTCCTAACATAAACAATATTGATAACACTATCGGTTATCAATTGTTTCACATAATCATGTCTCAAGATAATATATCTAGATTTCCCATTATAAACCTTGTTATAAGCTCTAGACAAAGTAGCTCTACTATCGCA